GTCTCTCCTGTCTCAATTTGGGCAGTTCCCCTCCACGCAGCCCCCAGGCCTTGTGCTGGTGGTTTGCTGCCCTCCTGAGCGTGCGGGAGCGCCCGTTTCCGAGCGTTACCCAAACCCCTGACTTTGCCAGAAATATTTTTAAGCATTTCTACGTCGTTGGATTCTGCTGCGGATCCCAAAGAGGAGGCTTCAGCCACTCCCCTCTGCTGCAGGAGCAGCGTCTGCTTCCCAAAACCAGAGTGTCCTTGTGCTGACGCCCTCCCCAACCCCACCTGGAACTGGGAGTGACTGGGGCCAAGCCCCCAACTGGGAATTACTCCCCGTTTTTAATGGGAGGAGGTGGTGGGAGCAGAGCGGCCGTGAGCGGGACCGCGTTCGGAGGCGCCTGGGTGGGAGTGACAGCGCCGTCTCAGTTGTAACTACGACCTATTTTTTAACACAAAAAATCATGTAATTTGTTTTCCTCCTCTGAAACAGCCCCAACGCAGCCCTGTACAGAGAACAGAGATGATCTATATTTTCAGTCGCAGCTTTTTGTACATAGAAAACTCCAAAGACTTCCCCGTTTCTCTCCCGAAACGAAGGCTGCGTTGCTGCCCCCGGGGCTGGCGCGTCGCCCGTTGCACAGATTATTTATCTATTTAAAAGTCTATTTTAGTTTGTAACCGGCGGCCGGGTGCGCAGCGAGCCACCACATGTAGCAATCCTGATTTTTTTTTAGCACCTTTTCTACCCGCTCTGTGTCCAAAACTCGCAGGGGAGCAGCGCCCAGGACGCGGCCCGGACGATTTCCTCTTTCTTGTAGCGTAAAGGTAAATATCGCGACGCAATAAAGTTGTGGAATCCTGAGCGCTGGATCTGCGTGGAGCTGGAGCTGAACCCCTGCTGCTGCGGGGGGAAGAGCTGGGGGGCAGGAGGGGCCCCTCTGAAGGGGATTTGGGGGTTTCTGAGCTTTGGGATCCCCCAAAATCGGCCGCTGAGGGGGTTGGTTCTCGACGTCACTGAGGCGTGGGGCTGCCCAGGGAAGGACCCACACCCCGCCTGCCCGGGGCAGGCCCCCCCCCCCGCTCCAGGTACAGCCGCGGGGACACCCCCGGTGTCACAAACCCGGCGCGGTGACACGCGCCCGCAGCAGGGACTTTATTGCCCGGTGTGACGCCGCCCTAGGGCCTGGCTCGGCCCCGCTCCCCCCCGGCCTCCAGCCAGCGCCGCAGTGCGAACTTGGTGC